ATCTAAAGAAGGAAAATGGGCATAATGATTGCTCAGAACCCCAATACAAAATACAAAGAGTGTTCCTCTTCCCTGTTCCTAGGTTCTCCCCACAGGACAAGATGATCTCTCAGCCTCAAGGCTGGCTAGGACAAACCAGGGTTTTAATGCCTGACCCTGGGCTATGAGGCATATTGTAACCCTGTTAAGGTACAGCTTAGAAAACCCAAGAGGGTTGGTTAGTCCTCTTAGTATCATCTAAGTGGCAGGAGCTAACTTCTGAGCAGAAAGGCATTCCTCCCTTTTACTTCTGTCTTAGACAAAGAACCAACTGCTCAGGAAATCACTTCCATCTTGCTAGGATTGTTTTACTGAAATAAGAACTTACTGTTCATTATTAACTCTTGGAGCCCAATATCTTTGAACAGATCCATCATCATCATCATCATCATCATCATCATCATTATCATCTTCATCATTGGTGAACTACTTTGCCTTCCTTGAGAAAAAAAAACAGACATCCTTGTAGGCAAGGTGTACAAAATGATTGAGATATTGGTGCCCTTGTCTTCATGGCTCTTGAAGTCCATGATCAACTTCATACTATTGACAGCTTTATTCTCTTACAATGGAATGTTTTTACAAGAGAATTTACAAATTTGTAGATACTTGGTTCTATTATATGAGCCTGTACAAATTCCAAGTGTCCTCTGAGTCTCCAAAATGTTTATATATCTATTTTTACTACTAATTGTACACTCTCTAATACTGTATACTAACCCCAGGAGACTATGGAATATTTAATGTGGCCAGTATGAATTGAAACTTAATGTGTGGGTAAATTTAAAAAAAAAAACATTTTGGACTTAGTTCAGATGTGAATGAGAAATATAGCCTAGAAATTTTATATTGATTACTTTTTCAAATTATATTTTTAGAGATGCTAGATTAAATAACAAAAGTTAATGTTCATTATTTTGGTTTTACTATGGCCATCAGATCATTTTTAACTACACTGTAATTAATAGTGTTCTTTTTTATTATTGGGCAGAGCTAATTTAGATGATAAGTTCCTCCCTGTCACAGGCAATGCCTGTTTCATATTTAGTGTCCAGTGAATGTTTGATTAACTAAAATGTCAAACTGAAATGAAAGGGTGAAGATTTATAATGATTTTAATTTTATCTATTATTATTGGTGTGGGGGTACGAGAAAGAGAGAGGGAGGTTGTGAATTTGGAAGTCAGTTGGTTCTTCCCACCTTTGTGTCAGTTCTACCTACTGTGACCTGTCACAAGCCCCATAATGGTTTTTAACTAGTGGCCATGATACTGTCAGTTTAGGAAATGATAGAGCAAGTTGGGAATAGGTTGAGTCTAGGAATTCTAAGATACATATTAGTTGTCTTTGATGTGTGGTGTTTGAACATGTATAAAAAGAGATGGAGGCTCTAACTGTAGCTGCTTTAGCATGAGATAATTAGACATAACCTACATGGTTTATCTATTTGGTTACCCATGACTTGGTTGTACTTTGCCATGTTCCTTCAAGAAAGATCCATTTCCTGGAAGGCTTTTTTTGCATTTAGTCACAGTTCTTAGACTTCAATATGCTTAGAAATTATATTAACATGTAAATTTTGTAGTGAGTTTGAAGACCCTTTCCCCGAAATTCTAGTTCAGTCAGGAAGGAGCCAGGACTCTGGAGTTTAACACCCAGAGCAGCATGGAGCAGAGGCTTGGCAACTGCCCTGGGGGACACTGCCAGGTGGTGTGAAATCTGGCAACATCCAGAGAGTCTGTATAGGAGAGGCGGTTTGCTCAGCAATATTTGTTGTTGGTATAAAGAACGAAAGTGGATAGAGATTCTAATGGTCAAAATTAAACAAAAATGTTATAGCAAAGCAAACAATCAACAGAAGCAAAATCAAAGACCATCTGTGGAATGGAAAAAATTTGCAAGCCATGTATATGTAATGTTCAAAGAACTCAATAACAAAAATAGTTCAATTTTAAAATGAGGAAAGGACGGATGGACCTTTCTCTAATAAAAACAAATTGTCAACAAAACTACAGAAAGATACTTGCATCAGTGGTAGTCAGGGGAATGCAAACTAAAACCAAAATGAGCTCATGCTTAACAGCATGCCCTCTGGAGAAAAGCGACTCTTAATGGCAAGGGTGTTAGTGGAAGCTTGGAACTGTGTGTGCTGCTGCAGGAATGTGCACTGTAGAAACTAGCCCTGAAACTCTGAAGACCCCTACGGAAGGCCTCACGTTCCATGGGGAACAGAAAAGGGTATGGGATAGGCAGGGTGTTAGTTGAGGGGGGGGAACAGGAGAGGGAGAGGGAACTGGGATTTACATGTAAAACAATCTTGTTTCTAACTCAAATAAAAAATGGAGAAAAAAAAAAGACTACCAAAAAAAAAAAAAAACCAAAAAAAAAAAATTAAATAAATAAAACTAACCCTGTAGAAGATCAGAAACAAATAATAAAAACAAGCATGGCTATCCCACTCCTGATTATAAACCGTGTGTGTGTGTGTGTGTGTGTGTGTGTGTGTGTGTGTGTGTGTGTGTGTGAGAAGACTCTTGAAGAGGTATGTGATACAAATATTAATTGCATCTTTATCCATAGTAGCTGAGTATGAGAGTAAGCGAAGAGCAGTGGTGCATAAATGCATGCAATGGACTATTAGTATTGAAGGGGAGGGAGTCGGTTGATTCTGTAATGCTATAAGGACATTGTGCAAAGTGAAAGAAGCCAATCACAAAACACAAATACTACATGTCACATTGATAGTGAGGTATCTAAAGTTGTCAAATTCACAAGCAGAAAATTCAGTGGTGGTTGCAAGGGCCAAATGGGAGGTGGTGGTGGCTTGCCAGTTCAGTGGGTATGAAGTTTCCGTCATGCAACATTAAAGTATTCTTGAGATCTGTTGTACAGAAATGCCCTGCAATATACTGTCATATACATGTAAAAAAAAAAATGACAAAGGTGTCTCAGCCCGTAAAGATGTGAGTTTGACCCTAGGATCCACATAAAAAGCCTGGAATGGTGGCACAGGTGTGTAAGCCCAGGGAGAAACCAGGGAATGAATCTCTTGTGATCCTCATGTCTCAGTGAGAAATACTGTCTCATCAAACAAGGTGGGCAGCTACTGACAAATGATGTCCACACATACATTCCCACACACCTGCATATATACACCCCCAAATCAGTTTTACTCCAGTAACAACAACAAAAATCAAAATACAAATTCCTTTAACATTTCATGGTAAATGAAACTCAGTGAAAGAGTATAGTAATTTCATTTCTTCAGAGCATGTTTGTGATAATTTGTGATGGAAATGTTAAGTGAATACACAGTGGAGTGTGTATATGGTGGCAAGAGCTTGAATATAGCCCCGTTCGTATCCAAAGCACACACTCTTTGAGTGTCCTTCCTGAGACAACTTGTCTGGATGCCTGGATGCCCTCCATGAGGAAGAGAAAGGAGAGATGTCAGTAAGGGGTTGCTGTATTTCAGATGCTCAGGAAGAATCCATTACCCCTTCTCATCCCAATAACTGATGCCAGGAATTTAAATACTCACTACCATACTCTTAAAACATTAAAAAAAAACAACAACAGCAAAGCATCCTTATGATTTTAAGGGTGAAGGCCAGCAGACCTGCCTGAGATAGAGTCATCAATTGAGTTGACAGACATCCAGAAGTGCTAGCATGCATGCCAAGTGCAAACTTGGCAGCCAGAGGTCTTATGTCAGGCAGAGGCCCTTTCTTTCTCAGAACTGCTAAGCACATTGGATTGCTGCCAGGTCAGCTGGTGGGCTTTGCCCTTGAGGCTGGATTGCTTTTATAAGGAGAGCAAGCAGATTGAAGGCAAAGGCATAGGCTTCTCCTGTATGTACTAAAGAAATTAAAATACATTCCTGGCCTGATGTATGTATATACCCCCCTCCACTACCCTCTTAGGATCCAGTTCTATCTCATTGGATCCTTGGGGATTTGGGTTTTTAATTTTTGTCTATTTTTGTTTTTGCAGTGTTCTGATTTATCTCCCTAAGACCTTGAGTGTGAAATAGTAAGATGCTAATACCCGCTATGTGTCTTAAACAATGAGGGTGTTCCATGTACACTGAGAACTCTGTACAGCTCCCTCAAACCATATCCTGCACCCTCCCTACAGGGTTCTGCTATCTGGAACAAAGAGTTCATTGTTTCTAACAGATTCTTTATATCCAAACAGCATAATACTCCATTAGAATGCATAATTTTTTATGTTTTATATATCAGTTAAAATAAGTTTAATTTAAAATTATATAAAAGAGGGTGATAAAACTGGACCAGTGAGATGGCTCAGCAGATTGTGGCTTTTGTCACCGACCTAACAACTTGAGTTAGATCCACAGAACCCAGATGGTGCAAGCAGAAAATTACCCTCAGTGTCCTCTGACCTCTATGTAAACAGCATGACATCTGCATTTACACACATGAATGATAAGTAAGTGTTCTTAAAAATTGTTATCTTAACATCTTAACATGCGCAGATGGTGCAAGTCCATATTCTGCACTCTGGTCTTATCACAGTTGGACCCATTTACTTGTTGTTGTGTCTTTTCAAACAACTGTATGATCTTTCAAAGATGAGCACTAAAGACTTTGAAGAGTGCTTTTCAAAATAAATTATATGATATTGGTATATCTCAATGATATGTATCATTATTTCATGTACTTTAAGCTTTATATAAATGACAACATATTTGATATAGTCTTACAAAAGCTGTTTTTTTTTTAAATCATTATTCTACCTGTTCATTTCCTAAAAGCTTCATTTGGTATATTTGCTCCAGTGTTACACAGGTAACCATTTTTGACACCAATACCTGGCATTATTGTAGAACAGTATTTGATCCTTATCATGCAACTAGTTCTGGACTAGACTGAAAAATATTATGCATGGAATTAATGCACAGTTGTAATGGAGTGTATAACTGTTAAATATGTTTGTTTTATTTCAGGTTTAATATAACATATCATATCATGCTTTTTCTCTGCACCTTCTCAAATCATCAACAGTAGAAAAAGAAGAAGACATGTCAGGACACAAATGGTAAGGAATCTGTTGCCAAGTTTTGCATTGGAGGATGATAAATGGAAGTTGCATGGTTTATGCTTAATAAATGAGAATGAAATGGAATGATGAAGAGACTTCAGCAGTAACTATCTTTCTGATGCTAGAGAAGCCTAGCTTAGTGTCTCTGATCAATGTGAGATAAAAAACAAGCAACAAAGGTGTTATAAATACTCACATCACTTGTATTTGTTAAGAAATTCACTCTGGCACATATCTGCTCTTAGGAATCTAAGGATAATTTTTCTTACTGCCATTTCATATAACCTAATAACTTGATGCATTATTGCTACTATCTTGTTTATAACTTCTACTGTTAGAGGGAAAATGCAAAGTTATGTGGGGTGCCTAAAGAGCAGTTATATAATTAATCAAGCAGTATTCAGTTTTATTAAATTGTGGACATTCAGAAGCCATCTTAGTTAGACATAGTACTCATGTTAGCTCTATCATGTATGTGCCTATAACATATTTAAGCAGTATGTAAGCCTCTTAGATGTTCTTTAATTGGTATTTCTTAGCATTGTGAAGCTGCCACCTACCAAACAACCAGAAGGTTGTCAAGTTTTATCTCCTTAAATTTCTGGAATGAAAAAATGTACAATAGTTTTATTTTCATATGTTAAAATATATAAAATACACTTTTTAATCCTTCCCTTCTTACCAAGAAAAGTGTCAGGCCCCAAGTTCTCTGTAATATCAACCTTTAAGCTTCAAAAGAATGTTTGCATGTCTTAAAATACAACTTTCTTTTTAAAACTGAATAAATGACTAAGGTTATCCTTGAGCATTCTCATTGAGCATTCATCCAACAGTTGTCAGACTTATTTTAGTTGTTTCATTTTGCCTCCTTATGTCCCTGAGCTGGCTCCATTTCAGCACCTTCACGGTGACTGCCATGTCCTGGAATTCTCAGTACTTACTCACAGGAACAGAAAGCCCCAGGATATAGGTAGGCCCTTGCAGAGCTCTGCTTTGTGGCTTGCTGCAAATACACTGCAAGGTCTCATGTTTCATTCTGTGTGACTTCAAGCAAGACCCTTAACATTTTGTAATCTGAGGTTCCCGTTTGTTAAATGATGGGCAAGTGCTTGTTTATTTCCTCCAAATGGAACTTTTTTCTGTTGATCTATAATTATTGACCAAGAAAAAAAAGATCCAATGCATAAAATCCATCCAATACTTCAGTTTTTAGAACCCTGTTTCCCTGGAATAATCTATTTTGACTAGACCCTTTCAATCTTTTAATGTGTACATTATAGAGAAATCATATGGTATGCCTATTTTATCTTATTTTCTCTAATATGAATCAAAAATAAATCTCTTAGCTAATAAAGATATAAATAGCACTCTTACATAATCACGCCTCTTGTACCAAAGATAAGTATCATTAAGGACATCATCAGACAGGCTTTCTGACATTTTAAGACTGAGCATGTGAATTAACCTTGAGAGTAAGCACAGTGGACTTAGAGATGAAGAATATAAGTCATCACGCTTGAGATACAGCATTTTGCTGCAATATTATAAAGCAGCTCCCGCTTTAGAACACCAACTTGGCACATCTAGAGTGGTGATGGACTGGGGAGAAAGGAAGGAGGATTGGTTTGGGACCCGGACTGGGCTTTTGTAGTGGGTACTGAACCAAGTAAGATATAGACAGAGCAAGGAGGAGGGATGAAGCACTAAGAGCAAACCTTCTAATGGTATTTGGGGTCGTCTGATCACTTTTATGGAATTCAATATCATTCTCAGTTGTCTTTGTAATTCTTGTTTACATATTTTTTTTATTTGCTTCTCATTACTGTCTTCCTAAGCAGGAACTTCCAATATATGTTTTAAGTATGTTTGTTGAAGAATTTAGTTTTTAACATCCAGAAATCAGAATTTTTTTACTTTATTGTTATAGAAACAATTAATACTAAATCTAAACTCTTAATAAAATTTAAAGTGCACAATTAGTATTGTTAACTGGTAGGTCCGGCGTAGCAGGTCTCCAGAACGTACTCATTTGGGCACAACTGAAATCTTACGACTTGATTAGCCATTCCCCACATTTCCCTTCCCCCAGAGCTAGCCACCATTCTTCTCCCTGACTCTGAGTCTGACAGTTTCAGATGCCTCTGTAGCAGATTTTAGACATGCTATTTTTCAGCCCCTTATCTACTTTCCTGCTGCCACCCCACTGTGGCATAATGGAGGCGTGGAGAGATGTGCTGCTGTCTATCCTTATCTCTGACACATGGGGCTGTCCTGAGCTAGTTACTGGCTTTCCTTGGCCTCACTCTTTCCACCCCCAAAAGGAGTAAGTCCAACCTAAAATACACATATACATTCTTTTTGATGTTCAATTTCTTGATTTTCTTAAAAAGATTCAGAATTTTCTCACTTGGACTTTTAAAATTGTGGAGTAAATTAGAAAGAATTAATTGATTTTCATGGTATAATAACCCTATCAGAAAGCTTTTGTGTATATATCAATAATGTAAATCTAGCTAAAATACTTTATAGTGTAGTGTCTTAATCCTTTCGAAAACCATGAGTCAGATAGCTCTCTACTGTTTTTAGCAGTTATTCCTGGGAGCTGCAGGACCGGTTTGCTCAAGATAAGTCAGTTGTCAATAAGATGCAACAGAAGTATTGGGAAACAAAGCAGGCCTTTATCAAGGCCACAGGGAAGAAGGAAGATGAGCATGTTGTTGCCTCTGATGCAGACCTGGATGCCAAGCTAGAGGTAAGCTCTTCAGAGCTCTCCGGTCGAGCAAAGCTACCTTGCAAGAGTCAAGACCTGAGAGCAAGCTTGCTAGACAGTCTTACTTTGCTCACATTAGACAGTGAGGAGCACCTAGGATCAGATCTATTCAGTCCCTGCATACATTTCAATCTACAAATTCTGACCCCAACATACCTCTCTTAATGTGTTTTCAAGCACCAAGTTGGAATGCATGGTGTGTGGTAAATTCAAGGAAGTGTTTGTTGAAATATTAAGCACAATAAAAAAGTCTGCTCGTTATATATGAGAAACTAGAATTGAACACTAAAACCAAGCAGATGTTTAGTCAGCAACAACAATAAAAATGACCTGCAAAGTAGAGTAAGGTTGTTTATACCATGGAAAATTCTAGAATGAATTAACTTAAGCAGTTAACTTAAGATATTTAGTGAAACTTTGTAGCAAATGAGTTAATATCCACTTGTGTTGTGGACTGTTTGTTTACCCTGTGAAGATGTGTCTTTGCCAAGGCACCCTCTAATTGATTTAATAAAGAGCTGAATGGCCAATAGCTAGGTGAGAAGAGGTTGGGTGGGACTTCTGGGAACAGAGAGGACTCTGGGAAGGAGAAAGGCAGAGACACCAGCCAAATGCAGAACAATTGGGACACACAGTATGGGACAGAAATAAAAACTGCGTGGTAGAATGTATATTAATTTTTTAAAATGGGTTAATTTAGGTTATAAGAGCTAGTGGGACAGCGTAAGCTAAGGCTGACTTTTGATAATTAATAATAAGTCTCCATATCTTTATTTGGGAGCTGGTTGGCCAACAGAGAAAGGCTCATTACATAGTTGATCTACTGTATTAATAAGAGTAGAAGGCCTGCTGCGTCATTGTCTTACTGGACATTTTTGCCTGTCCTTTTCCTTTCATTTTGAAAGCAAACATCAGTTCTGTGAGTGGCAGGTCACCGAGAAATAATGTTTCATGGATGATATAGTCAGTAGGATCTCTGAGTTTAATATGGCAGCTAAAGTTAATGAGCTGAACAGTCAGGAGACTGCAATTAAAAGCTGAAGATTTCAAAGCCTTTCCTAGAAGGGTTGTTCAATTATAGAAAGGGGCTAAGGAGACATCATGGTAGTTGTAAGTTACAGACGAGTGTCTTTTGTGTGGAAGAGGAAGCAGCAGACCCAGGCCGGACATTTTAAGGTTTAGGCTAATGAGGGACGGGCTGACTTTGACACAGTAGATGCCCTGTACAGTGGGATGTGAGCCTCTGTTGTCCCTGAAACAAGAGTGCTTGCTCATCCCAGCTATTATGAGGGTTAAATTGGGAATAATTCAAGTGATGATATTATTATTTATTGAGTGCTTATCATCCTAGCAACCCACTTCCTGAATGCTCCTGACATACCTGGCCTCTGCCTCCCTCCCTTGGTTTTTTTTTTTTTTCTCTGCCACTCTTAACTATTCACCCCATGTTCCAACCATTATGGCTTTTTCTCAGATCTCTGGGTAGAACCAGCCAGTTCAGACTTGTCAGTGCAGTTTCTGTGGTCTACCTGGACACTTTCCCCCTACATCTTCCCTTGACTGACTCATACTCATAGTTCTCATAGCCTAAAAGTCACTTTGAAAAGCCTTACCTCACCACGCTGTTTAAATTCCCTGGCTATCTACCCACAGAACATCTGTTCACTAACACAGGGCTTAGCTTCATTTTGCTTGGAGTACTCATTTCTGTCACAGAAATCCCTCTGGTGGGTAAAACAGTAAGTCTAGGGCTAAAACCTTTGGGTGTGCAATCCACAGGAAAACATGAGGTATAAGTTTGTTTGCCTGCCTTTTCTCCAGCAGGAGGTCAAATTCCATGTTAGCATTAATCACCACTGTGTCCCCAGCCTGTCCCAGGCACAGTTTCCAACCGAATGACTGTGTAAATAGTCACTATATATTAGTACAAACAGTATCAGTTCTTAGCCCTTACTCTCCTGGCCTTGGAAATTGTGAAATTGAAGCTGATTGGATGCTGTTTCAGGAGATTGTACTGTGGAACACAGTAGAGAGAGGAAGTGCCTTTTCTGATATTTGTATTGTAAATACAATGTAAGCCATTCTAAGCTGTATATGCTTTTCATACTTCAATGTTTTTTTTGTTTTTTTTTTGTTTTTTTTACAAGCTAGTAAATAATAGCATTGGCATAGTGGTGGTAGCCCTGTAATCCCAGCATAAGGGAGGTTGAAGCAGGGGGATTGCCAGTTTGGACTCTACAGCCAAACTCTGTTTCAAAGATATGGTAGTTTAATATTTTATTTAATTCACTACTGTCATGAACATTTATGTGAAGGTTTTTGCAGCATCATTTTTATTGAAGCAACTGTGCTTTCATCTAATAGTCAGTGTCTTAGACCAAAGTATTTGGCCTGTGACTTAGTGTTTGCCCACAAGGTAAATTTATTTCTGCTAATATAGGTATGGGTGTTTATAGAGACAATGGGTCCCCCAGTAGAACATGAAAATGATATCCACTTATTATGGAGTGTTCTCACCCTGAATTACCTGCAAAAGGCTAGCTTACACTGCTGGCCTAGGGAGGTACCCATACAGGCTTTGTTAATAGACTAAACGCTAGGGAAATGTTTGATGTGTAAGCACGAGGACCTGAGTTTGGATCTCCATCACTCATGTAGAAGCAGGACATGGTAGTGGGGAGGCATGCAGAGATACACCCTGGGTTGTTGCTGTAGGTTCTTTCCCACCAGCCTGGTCCCAAGGCCAACTTCAGCCCCAAATAAACACACAGACACTATATTTATTATAAATTGCTGGCCGTTGACTAGGGTGTCTTATTGGCTAGTTCTGTCTTAATTATTAAACCATCTCTATTAATCTGTGTATTTCCACGAGGCTGTGGCTTACCTGGTAATGCCTGGCATGTGCATCATGGTACATCTGTGACTCCTGCATCTCCTGCATCTCCTCCTGCATCATGGTGACTCTGTGTCAGGCTCCCTCTGCCTACCTTTCCCAGAATTCTCTTTGTCTCCTAGTTCTGCCTGTCTTCCTGCCTCATGGGCCAAACAAAGTTTTATTCATCAACTAATAAGAGAAACATATACACAGAAAGACAGAAAGCCATCCCCATCATTGGGGGCTTGCTGGCCAGCTAGTCTGTGAGAAACCTTGCCTCTGACAAGAAGATCGTGAGCCATTCTGATCGTGAGTTAGGAGTACTTGGTACTCCTAACAACTGACGTTTGATCCTCATAACCCACTCTAGAAGGGGAAAACTGACTCCTGAAAGTTGTCTTCTGACCTCTACCTGCGCACTCGCGCACACACACACACACACACACACACACATATTGACAAACTAAATAAAATTTTAAAATAAGTTGCTTTGCCACAAAGGAAGATATACAACATTGACCTCTCACCTTCTTACACACATGCAGATATCAAATAAATATAGTCAGGCGGTGGTGCACATTAATGCCAGTACCCAGGAGGCAGAGGCAGGCAGATCTCTCTGAGTTTGAGACCAGTCTGGTCTACAAAGTAAGTACTAGGACAGACTTCAAAGCTACACAGAGAAACCCTGTCTCAAAAAAACCAAATAAATAAATAGTAAATATAAAAATAAGCAAATGCAATTATTATACTGCATACATTGAGAAGTTAATATATAAATATGCTCAGGTTTGGTCTTTAATATCTGCCAGGGCAGAGTGGACTGTTTTGGTGATGGAAATGCTTGTTTTAAGTGTGGTTCACAAGCGAATACAATTGTCAGACTCACAGAAATAAACATTCCACAGCTGGGCATTTTGTTGCACCTAAACAATATCTTGGTTTTAAAAAGTCAACAGCAACAGTGGACCATATTGTTACTCCTATGGAATCTGAATGTATTTGCTCTTACTCTGTTGTAGTCTGTGGCCCAGAACACTTCTGTCAGGAGTCTGAAAAGGAAGAAATTCTGATGATTTTCTGATTTTTTTTAAATGGGAAAAGACTTTTTCCCCCAAACAAGTTGAGGATGTAATTTAATAAATAGGCAAATTTGTTTCTTCATTAATAGAATAAAACAAGCCTTATTCTATTAAACATTCCTAAGAATGGGTTTTTAGTCTTTTTAAAATTCATTCACTACTTTCATTAGATAATTTGGTCATATGTATTATGAAGAGATCATCTGTTTGTGCTCAAACATTGAAGTGCTTTCTGATACCTAGACATAGTTTTACATTGGCATGGCCAGTAAGCTCTATGGATAGAGGAAAAGCCTTAGCTTACCTCATTGAGTGGCTCCATAGAGTCAAGATGTTTATCAACTTTTATAACTGATACTTACCATGGTCTCTGAGTCCACGGACAGGGGTTTGAGAAAGTATGGAGTCTGTCATATTAGTCAGCTTTTTGTTACTGCAGCAGGCGTTCTAGAGAAGAAATAGTTATTTTTGGATCAAGGTTACTCAGCCCCATTGCTTTTTGTGATGGGATAAGGCAGCTATCATGACAGAGTGCCTGGCCAAAGAAACCTGTTTACCTTATAACAGCCTGGAAACAGAGAAGGCCCGGTTCCTAAAACTCCTTCCAGGGCATGTCCTCTGTGAACTCACTTCCTTCCACTAGGCTCTACTTCCTCCAGGCAGATAACCCTTAACATAGGGCTTTGGGGAAACATTTATTCTCCAAAGCAAAACATCTCCTATTGAGTGATCTCAGTTTCTGAAGGAAAGAGTTGGGGTTCTCTAAAGGAACAGAACTAATAGAATATGTATTAAAAGGGGGACTTATTAGAGTAGCTTTCTGTGGTCTAGCTAGTCAAACAAAGGAAAGACCACAAATCCAGTGGTTGTCCAGCCCACAAGGTTGGATGTGTCAGCTGGTCTTCAGTCTACAGTATTTAACGATAACTCTTTCCACCAGCCTCTGCATCAGGACCCCCAAATAATACACAGAGACTCTATTAGTTGTAATGCTGCTGGCCAATGACTAGGATTTCTTATTTGCCAACTCTGTCTTATATTAATCCATAACTACTAATCTATGTATTTTTATAAGGACTTACCTTACTGAGGACAACAGCCTCATGTGTCTTCTCTTCCCAGGATCACATGGCGACTCCTCTTTACTGCATTCCCCACAATCCTCCTCCTCTCCTAGTCCTGCCTATTGTGCTTCCCTTTTGGCCAACAGTGTTTTATTCATTAACCAGTAAGAGAGACATCTACACAGAAGGACTTCCCCCATCAACAGTAGGATCCTGAAGTAGATTTTTCACCAACACAGGGGTGCCTCAATAGGAGTATAAATGAGCTTGCTAGTGAGGGAGAGGGCAAGCAGGTAAAAAGCAAAAATTTTCTTCATCCATGTCCTTTTATGTAGGTTGCCACCAGAAGGTGTGGCTCAGGTGTAGGGTGGGTCTTTCCACCTCAAATGATCCTATCAAGAAAATCCCTCACATGTGTTGCCAGCCATTGGGTTTTAATTGATTCCAGATATAGTTAAGTTGACAACCAACATCAGCCATCACAACTACGATGAATTCAAACCTGGTTACATTCTTTTAAATACAGTTCTTCTACTCCCTGGGTTTCTTCGTCATGGCCCTTGGTACGGCATGAAGTTGTCTCAGTGTATATTTTGTGATATTACTAGGAAATGGGTATCAGTATTTGTTCTTAGATCAATACCATTTTAACAGATGTCTTCTAAATAGTCAACATTCTGACAGTTGATTTTTGTTTGATTTTTTTCCAGTTGCTTACACATGTTGTAAAATATACTAGGAACACAAAATAACTTAATATCACCTTTTAAATATGGTACTTTAGCCTGTAGAACCTCCATTTTTACAAAAGACAGTAAGTGTTAAAGATAACAAAGTAGGTTAGAATGAATATTGGGTTTCTGGCGTACCAAGCTATAATTGGACCCTACCCTTTTGTTTTTCATCTGTTATTTCAAGAGTCTGGAGAAATAACTGTTCTGTAGAACTTAATAGAGATGATCAGGTTCAGTGAGGACAGATTTCAGGGCATTGATCACTCTCTCTATGTTTCACTACGCATGACATCAAATAGAATTTTGGGGGTCTTGTTTTTAGCAGAAAAATGGAGTATTGTGATTTTCTTTAATGTATATTTTACTTGCACTGTTCTCTGTTTCACAGCATTGTATTGTGTTTTATTGCAGTTATTCCATTCAATTCAAAGAACCTGTTTGGACTTGTCTAAAGCAATTGTACTCTATCAAAAGAGAATATGTTGTAAGTATGGCCTAAGTATGATATTGAGCAAATAGTGAGAAAGAGGAGGATATTTTGCCTTAGTGTGTCATGTAATAAGCTCAGGAACTACTTAGGGGTATGTCTTTGTTCTTTCAAATGTGAGGAAGGTCTCTACTAGTTTTACCTTTGATTTACTCAGGTTCTTTTCAAAGCATGTATCAGACTAGGATTTTTTTTTTTTTTTTTTTTTTTTTTTTTTTTTTGCTGGATCATCCATGAACGCAGACATACTGTTTACTTTTCCAATTATAAATATTCTTTATTTTTAATATCTTAGACTTTTTGATTCAAGGTCATTTTCATTTGATTTCCTTGTTCATATAAGTCCAGTCTTTTTAAATGACTAGGTAGGCAGAGGAGGCACAGTTAGCTAATTCATTGAATATATTGTATTGACAGAACTTCCTCATGAGCATTTCTTATGTTATAATGTTCAGGGTTAAAATTATCTCCCAACAGTGGGACTGGAGAGATGATGCAGCAGTGAAGAGTACATGTTGTTCTACCACGTGGACCTGAGTTTGGTTCCCAACACTCACATTGAGCAGATCATAGACACATGTAACTCCAGTTATAAGGGATACAAACCCCTCTTCTGTCCTCTGTGAGCATCTGCATTCATATGTTATTCACACATGTTCTCATGAGCTTACACACACACACACACACACACACACACACCATATCCCAACCATGAAGAGGTCTTCTGATGGTGTCAGCAGGGGTTGGCTGTTGGTTTGTGGGTAAGCCATATCATCACAGCTTGGAAGGAAGAAAGAGATCTGCTCTGCTTAGACTGATTAGGATCCCAACTTTGATGGAGGACTAAAAATAGAATCATTAATCTGAGGGTGTTGCTATGCAGCTGCCACGGAAAGATATATAACAAATTTCTGTGAGCCGACATGGGTTTATTTTTAAGCATTTTAAACAAAAGAAAACAAGCGCAGATACATATAGTATGCTGCCAGTTTTGCAAGAAAGGGGGGATTAATAAAATATAGATGTGTAAACAGAAGGACCCATTTCAAATGCACAAGAGTATGCATTCTGTGCTCAAGAAATTCGGAAAAGATGAACGTCAGGTAAAAGGAATTAGATCTCATTTGAGCAGGGATGAGGTCATGAGAAAGAAGAGTGAGGGGTGGAAGCAGGATGCCAGAGGGGAGAGCCTAGCTTTTACCTCAGCAAGATGCACAGTAATTCTGACTCTTGGAACCATAGTGATATTTTCCACACTCATAAAATACCTAAACCAGGACATGATGGGGAATATAAAGTGGAGTACAGACAGTCACTGGTGGACCGAATTGCACTGTAGATAATGTCACCGGGCCAGCTGGATGAGAAAAAAGTAAATTAACTTCAATAACTCCAAAGACCATGCTTTTAAGTGGTGGAGTAAGGATCAACACAAAAAAAGGAGCACACATACAAAAACTGGAGCAGTTAATTAGTTTATTGATCCTAAGTAAATGGACCAGCAATTCTAAAACTACTATATGTTCCTGAGGTTAAACAACTAAATATAGTGTAGTTGAATGCCCGCGTAAAACGAGGCTACGGGTCGGGGCATAAGGTGCTTACTGCAAACACAGGGAGTGGGTGAAGTCATCACTATTAACCGGTGCAGATAGAAATGGACAGAAAGGAACCCAGATGAGCACGTCTGCCTGGGTTGCTGCATTTGTGTCTTTCTTGCCTCGAAGCATTTGGAAGCACCAAGGGCCCACAGCACCAAGTACTACTAACATTCAGACCTTGTTTTCTAACCACCGTTTTCCACACCTCTAGGGAAGTGACTGATTTCAGGCCCAGTACAGAGAAATGAAGATGAGTCTGGAATGCCCTGTTGTGCCAGAACCTAATTTCCCTGAGAAAGGATAGGGACTTAAAGGATACAGAAGCCAGTCTGTAGTCAGAGCTGGTCCAATTTGATCAACAAGATAAATAATGACAGTATTAAAGTATAAATCCTAAGAACTATAACTACTGATTATGTCAGTATGGAGGTAAATGGACAGTTAGACAGATGGATCAGTCCTTGTCTTAGTGGAAACTGAAAGAGAAAATAAACCCTTTCCCCTCTGGTTTGGTTCCTTTTGCTGTGATAAATTGTGTGACCAAAAGCAACTTGGTAAAGAAAGGGTTTATTTCATCTTACAGCTGGCAGGCAGCCATCATGAAGGGAAGCTAGGGTAGAGACCTGGAGGCAGGAACTGAAGCAGAGACCATTGAGAAATTCTGCCTGCTGCCTTGCTCCTCTTTTATTCTGTCAGCTTTCTTTTTTTACTATCTAAATTAGAAACAAGCTTGCTTTACATGCCAATCCCAGTTCCCTCTCCCTCCCCTCCTCCCCTGCCCCCCCACTAACACCCTACCTATCCCATCCCCTCTCTGCTCCCCAGGGAGGGTGAGGCCTTCCATGGGGGATCTTCAAAGTCTGGCATATCATTTGGAGCAGGGCAGAGGCCCTCCCCCGTGTGTCTAGGCTGAGAGAGTATCCCTCTATGTGAAATGGGCTCCCAAAGTCCGTTTGTACACTAGGGTTAAATACTGATCCACTACCAGAGGCCCCATAGATTGCCCAGGCCACCTAACTGACACCCATGTTCAGGAAGTCTGGGTTTCCCAGCTGGTTTCCCAGCTGTCAGTCTGGGGTCCATGAGCTCCCCCTTGTTCAGGTCAGCTGTTTCTGTGAGTTTCCTCAGCCTGGTCTTAAGCCCCTTGCTCATCACTCCTCCCTCTCTGCAACTTGATTCCAGGAGTTCAGCTCAGGGTTTAGCTGTGGATCTCTGCTTCTGCCTCCATCAGCAACTGGATGAAGGCTCTAGGATGGCATATAAGGTAGTCATCAATCTCATTATTGGGGAAGGGCATTTAAGGTAGTCTCTCCACTATTCCTTAGATTTTAGTTGGTGTCATCCTTTAGATCTCTGCATATTTCCCTAGTGCTATATTTCTCTTTAAACCTGTAATGGCTCCCTTTATTATGGGATCTCTTTTCTTGCTCTCCTCTATTCTTCCCCTGACTCAATCTTCCTGCTCCCTCATGTTCTCTTGTTCTCTTTCTCCTAACTCCCCCCCATGCTCCCAATTAGCTCAGGAGATCTTGTCATTTTCCCCTTCTCTGGGGGACCATGTATGTCTCTCTTAGGGTCCTCCTTGTTTCCTAGCTTTTCTGGTGGTGGGGATTGTAGAATGGCAATCCTTTGCTCTATGTCTAAAATCCATATACAAGTGAGTACATACCATATTTGTCTTTTTGTGACTGGGTTACCTCACTCAGGATGGTTTCTTCTAGTTCCATCCATTTGCCTGTGAATTGAATTTCAAGATTCCATTCCCCCCCCCATTGTGTAAATGTACCACATTTTCTCCATCCATTCTTCAGTTGAGGGGCATCTAGGTTGCTTCCAGGTTCTGGCTATTACAGATAATGCTTCAGCCAGCTTTCTTTATTTTTTTATTTTTTTATTTTTTCTTCTTTAAAGATTTTATTTATTATATATACAGTCTTCTGCCTGCATGCCAGAAGAGGGCACCAGATCTCATTCAAGGTGGTTGTAAGCCACCATGTGGTTGCTGGAAATTGAACTCAGGACCTCTGGAAGAACAGTCAGTGCTCTTAACTGCTGAGCCATCTCTCCGGCCCCTTCAGCCAGCTTTCTTATCCAGCCTAGGAGCTCCTGCCCAGGGCACCACTTCCACACTAATGTAGGCTTGACCATTCCACACTAACAGTAGATCACAGAAGTACCCACTTAGGGCAATCTGATGGAGGCAATTCTTCAGTTGTGATTCCCTCTTGTAACTCTGGGCTACTCTTAGAATGTGTCAAAGTCTTAAAATGCAAGAGAGTCAGAGGAGCTGTCAGAGCTCGAAAAAGATGGAGACCCAATACCTCATTGCTATGAGGGATCCAGGAGAGAAAAAGAAAAATAATGAAAAATCTGATAAACGTCCAAATAAGGACTATAGTTTAGTTGACAGGATTGTATTTATGTTGATTTTCTAGCTTTGAACCTTGTGCCACGATATAAGAAAAAACGAGAGAAGAAACTGGGAAAGCGTATATCTCAATTCTAAATACCATTGTGTTTTAAGTCTGCCATTTTTTTTTCAAAGAGTTAACCAATCCCAGGCTGGATCATATTGCCACTTGCTCTAGAACACTGCATATAAGTTTATCATAGTTTACAAATTAGAAAAACAGTCCAGTCCCAGCTTATTTCCTTTGCCAGGCTATAGGAGGTCTTTCGCTCTCAATGTGTTCCTCTGCTTGGAGTGTGTGCACCCTGATAATCAAGAATGCCGCCTGTGTCACTCAGAATCCAGCTGGGCTAGCATCTTCCTTCCCTCACTGCCCAGTCTAAAGCAGTCACTGTTTTACACGGTCTCTCGAGCATTTTTCCTTTAGAGCCTTGTGTCTGAGTATGTGTGCTTCATTTTCTGTCACTCATCACTTGAATGTGAACTCTGGAGGGGTGGGGACATCCTATGTCTCCTTCATCACTGCTGGGTTAGCCGTAAATCCCAAATCCCGACAGTTGATTAACACTGTTAAGGAAAATGTTTTCATAGTTCTTCCGTTGCTTTTTATCTTCAAAGGGAACATCTGAAAGTAGAACCAGCAAGTAAGTGTGAGTGACTTGTATTTAAAATTTTATGGCCTAGTTAGTTGAAACTTGTGAACAAATACAGACTTTGAGTTATCTAATATATATGTTGCATGAGGATGACCATCTCGTCTGGGGACAATCCTGCCTTGACTCTGACAGAGCTCAAAGGCTCTCCGAAGCCTTGCCAGGTCAACACAGAAAACCAAACCTGTTTGCCCCCAAGTTTGATCCTCAAGTGCATGAAATGACTAAAAACTATTCCCGAACTCTTCAGCCTAAGTAGATTACTTAGGGGAGACTAGTGTCACCAAGTGTGCATTCAGGTATGCTGAATTGGCTTCATGGGGACTAAAGTTAAATGAGTTCAGTTCATTTGTATATGACTTGAGTCTTTAAGGTAAAAAAAAAAGGTGACAGGAGCCTGCTGCTTTTGGAAGCAAAAATGGAAAATTGCTCTCCATAGAAAGGAAAAGGCTCTTAGTAGAAATGAATGAGTCCTGGATTAGTTCAATGAAGAAAAAAGACATAAGGCATTGAGAACAATCATGTGGACTTTTTTTTAAAGCTACCTAAAACTACGGCATGGATCTCAAACAAGAGAGAATGAGATACAGCATGTGCAGTGACAAGGCCAAAATAACAGCTCACTCAGTCTCACAGACATTTCATCAGTGCCACGACTAGAAAACTCTGCTTGGCCTAGAATTCCAAAGTCTAGATAGACATCGTCTCTGGGAAGGCAGAGACTCGGGATGAAGTCAGATGAGGGTCATCTGTGCTCACACAATGGCCAGTGCTGACACATGTGCCCAAAGGACACTGCTGGCCAGAAAAGAGGGGTCGACCACTTGTCAGAAGAAGCCCTTAACTGGGTTTGGATCTGTGAACTTTATTTACTTTTTTTTTTTAATAGCCCTTACTAATCTCAGTCTCTCAGCCCTCCTGCCTCTACCTCCTGAATGCTGGGATTACAGGCATGCATCGCCACAGCTGGCATTGGGAACTTGAGTTTTGAGAGTGAAGTGTGAGGAGGGCCATTATTTATCTCATGAAAAAAGGGGGTGTCTAAAAGCCTCCCCTTCTGCCTCAGGATTTACTTCCCTCTGTAGTTCAGAGGACTGCTGAGCAGGAACTGTAGTCACAAGTAGGCAAGCAGTAGTGAGTCTTTTGGATATGTGGTTCCCATTCAACCTTCTGTAGTTGCTGTTGGAGAAGTTGGCACTAATGAGGGGTATGATTTGAAGTGTGGGAAGATTGAAATGGGGAGTTGGTGAAATAAATCAGCCTTCAGACTGCAGTAGAAAACCATTTTGTTGAGTACATGGCATTTGCATTGTGGGAAGACCTGGCTTCAGGAGACAAGGGTTGTGATCAGGGTCCTGTTAGAGCTTTATTCTTCCATTAGGGTAGCTGTCATAGAATTCCCACCATGTCAGTGAAGGTTGTCCTTATGGGTTGATGTTTGATTCTGGGCAAAGACTGAGTTTACCGAGGCACGAGTCTGTGAAACCTGTTGTGATTAATTTTGCTTGGCTGTGCTCATGTCACTGGGCCACTGGCTAGAGTGGATAGCGTTCTCTATTTGCTGAGACTTTAGAACAGACTTGCCTTATAGAAAGTCCCTAATAGGAACCTTTCCCATCTTTGTCATGGCCTCTTGCCACCGTCTGGATGACTCATGAAAATGAACGAGAATTCTAGTGACATTCCAGATGTGGAAAATAAAGACAGATGGTATATATGTGCGCACCTTGTAATCTCAGCTTCAGGATGCAGAGGCAGAAAGATCTAGAAGGATTGGGAAGTGGAAGCCATCTTGAGCTACATAGCAAGATTTTGTCTCATAATACCTAGGTTGTGAATAAAAGATAGTTCAATGGGTAAAACAATTGCTTTCCAAGCAAAACATGAAAACACACTAATAAGAGGATTTCAGTTTGGTTCCCAGCATTCAAAAAGTTGGATATAGCTCTGTGTACACCTGCTGCTCCAGAGCTAGGGTAGGTTAGGAATAGAGTCAGGAGGGTTTCTGGGCTCACTTAACCTCTAGCCTAACTCCATGTTTGGTAAGAGACCTCTCTCAAAGCAGTAAGGCACAGGACGATTGAGCAGGACTCTCAACATTCCCCTCTGACCTCAGTACAAGAATTGGTACACATATACCATATCATTGAGCTACATTGCTGGTAATGGTGTAGCTCAATGGTAAATAGCATCTAGGCAAGCACAGGGTCCTGTGTTCAATTCTCAAGCCCCGTGTTTGTAGCTCTGATGATGGTGTATATTTGGGTCTCTGTGACTGTTTCATGGATGCTCTGATATTATTAAATCAGTCTCTAGAATAGGTAGAGTGTTAGTATTATAAATAATGATGTTGATCATTTTGGGGACTACTTTGTGACCTCCTGCGACTGTACCCTGTACTCCTAACGGCACAAGAACAATATCAAAAGTATCATATAATTCTGTGACTTTTTATATTTTTCTACCAATCAATCTGTAGACAGCATGTGCCAATAATCACTGTCTTACTAAATTGCCCCATCTGTACTTGTCTTTAAAAATAGACAAATTTAAGCATAACCAATTCAGATTTGGTTCTAGCTCTGTATTTTTAAAATGTACCAAGTGGTCAACCTGATGGCCTACCCACCTTCAGTCCCTGCTTCCAGCTCTCTTGCTTCATTGTGGTTGAGGGGCTTGGGTTGATTTACAAAGGACAATCTAACTCAGACTGCAGAGATCAAAAAGTCAGCAGGAAAGGATAACAGGAGGCCGCCACAAAAGGTCCCCACTGTCAGCCTCGACAAAACCAACTCCTTCATTTCAGCTCTAAGCTGCACATTATGGGCTCACTTTCCAGTCCAGAGGTCATTTTCTGGTTCTGATTACAGGGCACCAAACTCACTGACAGATGTATTCAAGGGAATTTGATCTCTCCTATTGTAAATGGAAGACCAGCCTGGAAGTGAAATGGCTGGGTCGGGGAGGTGGGGGAGACTTACCTTGCAGCCTGCCACTTGGATTTAATTTCCTCTAATCTTTGCCTCTGAAGAGAGAATGGGCCTTGGGATTTGTCTCTCTCACTCTCTTTGTCGTAAAAATGCTTCTCAGCTGCTGTCCCTGTTCTCTCCATCAGTCTTGTCTCAAGAAGAAAATGAACTGGGAAAATTTCTCCGATCCCAAGGCTTCCAAGATAAAACCCGAGCAGGAAAAATGATGCAAGCCACAGGCAAGGCCCTCTGCTTTTCTTCCCAGCAAAGGTGTGTGACCTTCTTTGGGGCTGTGCTTTTGGGGGATCCAAAGAGAATCCAGGGCCCACTTCTTCACTAAGGGCAGTAGCACAGTCTAGAATGCTTTAGCCTAAGCCTGAGGAGTCCTAGTCTGTACTTTGCTTGTTTCCACTTCCCTATTATTTAGATAGCATGGAGGACTTGTTTTCTTCCTTGCTATTTCATCTTTGTTTTCCGCCAATCATTGTGAGTGATTGTATTTGACCTTCAAGTTGCTCATAACAGTCAATCTGATCCACTTTCTGCATTTGATTAAAGCGGGAGCCTAATGAGATCAACTTGAAAGGTTCCCTCTCAGTTCTCCGTGGGCTAATTAATGGCAAAGAGGTGGTGATTGGATACCTGGACCACACTCCTCAGACTCATGGCCAGCAGCAGCACCTGAGAGCCTGTTAGAAGCAGAATCGAGGTCCCACCCCCCCATACCTACTAACTCTTTAACTACATTTCAACCAGATCTACAATTGATTCTGATGTACGTGAAAGTTTGACAGTCTCCAGCACAGAGGAAATTCTGACAAAACGGTTGGATTTCAGAACACAACCACAACCAATGTTTATGGACTATGTTAAACAATCCTGAACTTTTGTGCCACACAAATGCTCTTTGTGCCAGAGAAAGAGACTGGCTCTCTCCTTCCTTACTAACTAACAAGCCCCAGAAATTGTCTCCATTAATACCATGCAGAATTACACGTAAAAAAATTTTGGCAGGTAGTTTTCAAGATTATTTAAGCTCCAGAAATCCACTTATGCAAGTTGCCCACCTCCCTCCTACTTACCCTAACTGCTTTCTCTCCCTGTGATCTAAGAACAGGTCATCGGTTGGCAAGTCATGTGAGCATTCCTATGGAAACCCAAGAAAGATGTTACTAAAAAAAGAGACCAACAACATCTGTAGGCTTTTCAGTGACCCCATTATTGGGCATTTCGGTTCTTGCTAATAACATTTGGACCCTGACTTGTAGGTAGTGGCAACAGTCAGAAATGAACAGTAGCCATTTTCACCAGTTCTCTACCAGTTTCATTTTTTAAAAGAGTATCTTCGGGCTGGAGAGATGGCTCAGCCGTTAAAGGCTAGGCTCACAACCAAAACTAAAAGATTATCTTCTTATAATCTTGACATGCGCCTTTAATACTTAAAACAGACAAACCAAAAGAAAAAAGAAAAAAAAAAGAAAAATTCTGAAACAGGTAAATTATAACCCCTTGATAGGTAAATCTTTTGTGTATATGGCCTTGTCCAGTCTTACAAGGATAATCGATTCCTTAAAAAAAATGTTCTTATTTAAGCATGAAGACCACTGATTTCAGTGAGAGGAAAAAAGTGTGCCCATGCACCAAAATTAATACCTACTTATAAAAAAGAAAAAGGGTCCAAACCCAGACCAACTTGAGAATTACTGTTGTTAATCACATTGTTAATTATCCTATCCTGTGCTATTTGGTTGCAGTCTGGATGATTTTGGACCACAAAGTACAAATACAGCATCTTAAGTTAATGTACCTTAACTCCCCCTCACACACACACGCACGCACGCATGCACGCATGCACGCACGCACGCGCACACGCGCACACATGCACACATGCACACGTGTAAAAGCAATCAACAAAACAACACAAATGATATTGAACGTATCTACCATAGACTAGCAAACTACAGTCTCCACTGATGTGATGAGGTGCTACCAGCTCTGCAGTTTAGAAGGTGGCCTCTTACCTTCCCAGATGCTCACCAGATATGTGATGTCCCACCTAGTTCTCCTAAATGTAAAGGAAGCAGGAAAACTACATGAAATTCTTCTGCACTCGAGTTCTTAGTTGAGGGAACATGATTTAGAGTATGCCAGAATATGTTTTATTAAGATTTACTTTAATTGGATATGCATAAGAGTGCAGATGACTGTAGAGGTCAGCAGAGGGTTCAGATTGTCTGGAGCTGCAGTTACAGGTAGTTGCAAGCCATGTGACATGGGTCCTGAGCATCAATCTTGGGTCCTCAGCAAGAGCTTCCCATGCTCTTAACGGTTAAACCAACTTTCCTGCCCACAGAATATGTTTCTAGCATATATAGTACAATAGCAGATAGTTTTTGGACATTATGCTGCATGATGGTCATTTAGCAAATTGGTATTTTATTAAATAGTGCTAATCTTTTTCTATTTTAACATATTCGTGTTTTCAAACAAAAACAAAAAAGTAAAATTAAACAAAGAGTAACTCCACAGGATTCTATTACCTGGGCATGCTCTGATTGACTTGTGCCCTTTGTTACATTCTTTTCTTTTTAAGGAGGTTGGTTTCATTTGTTACTGTGTGTGTTCGTGTGTGTGTGTGTGTGTGTGTGTGTGTGTGTGTGTGTGTGTGTGTGTGTGTGTCCCCGCGGGGGGATGTGTGTACCCACAGAGGTCAGAAGAGGGCATCCGATACCCTGGGAGTTAGAGTTACAGGCAGTTCTAAGCTGTCCACTCTGGGTGCTAGGAACTGAACTTAGATCTTCTGTAAGAGCAGTATTCACTTTTAACCACTTTTATCCAGACCCTCTATTTTTTTTACCATTCCCTACTAAAGGATAAATATCCTAGAGTAGCCCTTTCATTATTTTATTATTTCCATGGGTAGATTTTCATAAATGAAAAGGTGGGCCAGTCTTGCACTGGAAGATTTTCAGTTAGTAAAAATGATATTTTTTCTTGGCCTAGACTCATTTTCTTATACTCCAGTGAATGTATTTTCATCATTCTGATTTCTATGGATCAGCTTATGGCAGTGGTTCTAAACCTTCACTATACCTCTTCATGTTGTCGTGACCTCCCACCATAAAATTATTTTCATTGCTACTTCATAAATGAAATTTTGCTACTGTTATGAATCCTAATGTAAATATCTGGTATGCAGGATATCTGATATGTGACCTCCAAAAGGGTTGAGACTCTCAGGCTGAGAATCACTGGCTTAAGATGTGATGGCAGGGATAAGGGTAGATGAGGTTGTTTTGTATGCCTTTTTATTTTCTAACATCATGTTATTGTAACTTTGAAGATAACTATAATTTCTAAGGGATTGAGAGTAGTGTATTCACAATATTCATTTTCAGCAAATGTAGGAACATACACGAAATCTAGAGGAAGAGAAATGAAGTGACAAAGTCAGCAGCATCCTTGGAGAGCCATCTGAGGACTGTTTATGTCTTCAAATAGGAGTCTTCTCTGTTAAAAACCTCCACACTGTGACTTATTTGTTAGGCATTGCTTCTGCTACACATTCTGTTGGATGAAAGGCAAGTAGCAAATTTAAACCACCAGTATAAAACACAAACTTACTTCATGATGCAATGACGTGACTTTTTGAGAAGACTTCCTTTTTTTAGATTTATCTATTTATTATATACACAGTATTCTGCCTATATGTATGTCTGCATGCCAGAAAAGGGCACCAGATCTCATTATAGGTGGTTGTGAGCCACCATGTGGTTGCTGGGAATTGAACTCAGGACCTCTAGAACAGCCAGTGCTCTTAACCTCTAAGCCATCTCTCCAGAAATCTAGGTAGGACAGTGTTGTTATGATAAGTCTTTCCACTGAAGCTACCTGAGCCCTGCTGCCATGTGGGCACTTTCTGCCAAGCCACCCAAGTTCCACCTGCCACCACATTAAGGTCACAAGTAACAGAGAGACTTATATTAGGTACAAATGCTGCTTGGCCAATGACTAGGATTTCTCATATGCTAACTCAGTCATAATTATCATAAATCTATATATTATGTAAGACTTATCGGATGCCAGTGGAAGCGTCCTGTCTTCCCGGGCTCACATGGTGACTCTGCAGCAGAGACCAGGCGGAAGAGCAAGAGAAAAGGGGAGACTCCTTCTTGTCCTTGCTTATATATGAGTCTGCCTGCTATGTCACTTCCTGCCTGGATCACAAGACTTCTTTTTACTACATTTCCCAGAATCCTCCTCAACTCCTAGTCCTGCCTAACTTGCTGCCTCATTGGCCAAATAGTGCTTTAGTCAACAGTAAGATAAACATACACAGAAGGACTTTGCCCACTTGTGTGGACAAGTTTCTGTCATCGATGTGTTCAACACTTAAACAATACATTACAGACAAAAGGAAACGTGGAGAAAATAGCAAAGGAGACTTTTTTCATAAGGTTTATTGTGGCATTTATAATTTTAGAGTGCCCCACATGTGTGAGGCATGGTGGGCACTGATGGAACGCCAGGAGCTCACTTCAGCTCATCAATACCATCCTGTCCTTTGGCTGAGTAATTTGGTATGCAATTAGGAACTTAAATGCTCATCTTATATTTAATTTTTGCACCTTTGCCCTGAAACTTCATAAAGAATTTTTGTGTAGCTGGAAAAAGGGCTGAGTGTGTAGTGCTCCTGCAGGAGCCCCAAGTTCAATTCTTAGCACCACACCAGGTGGCCTGCAACCACCTACAACTCCAACCTCAGGGTCTGACATCTCTCGCTTCCAAGGGTGCCTGCACTCACACATACAGACACAAATGTAGATAATTAAGAATAAAAATAAGTCTCTGACAAAAGAAAGAATATGCTTTCAAATTGTGATTCATCTAACATTAACTTTTTGGTTTCAAATATGGAAGACGCAGAATTTTATACTGCAAATAAATATTTTACCTAAAGCTAGGATATGCCTTCCCTTTTTAATGAATAAATAACAGTTTGTTATGGCTGTTGGTTACTGTTATAACAACTTTGCACTTGTACACTGTACATTCATTTCTGGTGTGATGTTTTTTGTTCACTGGTAATGTTTGAGATGGAACCCAGGCCTTTGCTAGTGCTAGGCAAGTGTGTACCACTATGCGGAAGCTCTGACCCTCTCTCTCTCCTCTCTCCATTCCTTCCTTTCTCTGTCCCCTTTTCTTTCTTTCTCTCCTTTAATCCAGGATCTCGGTAGCCCAGGTCTGCTAACTTGAACTTCTGATCCCCTGGTCTTCTTCTGGGTTTAACCCTGTGTGCTAGCACACCTAGTTTCATGTTTTCTAAGCATTGAATTATATAGCTTATCTGATAATACTGACGTACAGTTGACCCTTAGTAACTGTGATCCTCTTTCCCAAGTCATTTAAAAGTGCCTCAGTCCATGATTCAGCCCTGTTTCTATTAGAGCAGACTGCAGGTGCTCTGGCCTTTACACAGTTATCAAAAATGGCCAAATCAAGGACACCCTAGTCATGCCTGCCCCTCACAGGGTCAGAACTTCAGGAACAGAAGAGACAGGGAGTAACCAGGAATGAAAACAGGAATGACCATGCCTTGACTGCCCTTCATTGACCTAGGATTGGTTTCGACTTAAAACAGGCACTGTTTGCTGGGCCACCCAGCAACACAAAAGGAGTTCTTGCCAGCAGTCCAGTTCATTAAAAACTAAAGGATCAGAATGTGGGCAATTGCTGGATGATTCCCAAGTTCACACACACTTTAATTAATGTCTGCCATGTCTCAGAAGCATCTGTGTTCTAGGGAGTGTTCTAAGTTCCTGGGTTTGTGATGAATATAGAACATGTCAGGGATTGGAACTGTTGCTTTCCTCTGGTTCATGATTGTAGCTATGCCCTCTTGTACACAGGTTGGCTTTGCGAAACCCTTTGTGTCGATTTCACCAAGAAGTAGAGACTTTCAGACATCGGGCCATTTCTGATACCTGGCTGACCGTGAACCGCATGGAGCAGTGCCGGACAGAATATAGAGGGGCGTTATTATGGATGAAGGACGTGTCTCAGGAACTTGATCCAGACCTCTACAAGCAAATGGAGAAGTTCAGGAAGGTAGGACATTTTCTGAGGGTTGTCAAAAGGGATACCTGCTAGAAGTGTGACTTGAATCCCTGGTAAGGAAGACATAACTCAAATGCACCAAGGATGCAATTAATCATTGCTGACATTTTTTTTAATGTGACAGAATACCAATTAATGTGATATATAATTCTCTAAGGAGAAGAGAAGAGACAGCTGGAAATTGCTGGGATTTAGTAGCTGGTTTTAATTGAAGTCAGATTTTCATATAATGTGCAACTTTTTATAAGGTTGTCACTTGTAAATGCCTCTTCATGCATGACTAAAAATCCAGGGTAGCTCACACAAATCTAGTAGGTGAGAACAGACTTTTTGGCAAGTCTTTTTAATTGCTAATTAATGTTAAAATTAGTAAAATAATAATAGTCCTTTTGTGATATTTCCAGAGACACTGGGCTCTGGTTGCATGGTTGACTAGAATGGGGTTGGCCTTTCCAGCTATCAGCTGCTTCAGAAATTTCTCTGAGGAAAATAAGAGCTAAAGAGATGAATATTCTCTAAAAATTCCCTGGAAGAACTGGTGAGCAACCAAGGAATAATCTTCAGTTTCTTAAAAAAAAAAAAAAAAAAAAGGAGCCTTTGTCACACAGGAATACATCCTACCACTGGGTGGCAGTCATACACTGAGCATTTAATGAACATGTGGAATGATTTTGTTGTGTACAATGTTGGTAGTTCTTTGTTTGGGCAACTGGGTGTGCTCTAGGGTGTAAAAGAAAAAAAATCATCTAAATTTTACGCTTGACATAATATTGTATCAACTTTCTTAGTCATTTCAACTGATCCATTCGTAATTAGAAATATTGCTTAAAAGGATTAGATTCCTTTTTAGGGACATCACTTTGGAGCTATGATCCTGGAACCCTGGCTGGTCTGCAGGAGGTTAAGAAGTGTGGGAATAGAAGGGTGAAAGAGCTTCTCTTGCTCAAGACAATTGTCACCATTTCTTGACCTAGATATTAGAGCAACACAAATTCCTCTCAAAGTTGTTTTCTCTTGGTTTGTAATTCAGACGCCCTCTCTGGAGTAGGAAACAGCGTCGTTTTCTCTCTGGTCCTTTGCATGTTGGGCATCTGCCTTCCAGTAAGGCAGGCCACTGTGCCCAAGCAAATGTGGGACTGAAAAGCTTTTCATTGATGATGTAGATATTGTAGAACTCATTCATTTCCTGAAGGAGGAAAATCAGACTTCATGGTAGTAAATAAATGAAATGCTTATGGTGTAGCAACTGGACGCTGGTGTGCCCAGGCTGTTTTGCAAGTTTTCTGACTTGGTAATTGTGCCAGTCATATTTCTTTTGTCCTTATTTTTTTTTATTTGGGGATTGAGGAGCATGGAGTGGAATGGGCATTTGAGAAAAGAAACAATGAGAGGGAAACAAAGCTGCCTCCAGGGCACCATGCTGACACTTTTATTTAGTGTCAACTTAGTGTTCACCATAGTCAACACATACCTTTTCTCTTGTGGATGAGATTGATGCCCATAGAAGGTAACTAACCTAAGGTTCAGACAAGGAAGCAGAAGCCTGAGTCCCTGAAAATGTGTACAGTTTCCCAACTAAGAGATAAAGATAAGGACATTCAGGAATATACTGGAAGTGGCAACGACACTTTCATAGTTATACCTTGCCTGTGAGCAGCTATTCATTCAGAGAACTGTGATTGGGTGGCTCCAATAATACAAGTAAACAGTTACTCTAGAAGGCAGAAAACATTTGTGTGGATTTGTGTTTATTTGGTTTGTTTGATAGGGGGTGGTTGCTAGCTATGGAAGGGCGAAACAAAAACCAAGTCCTTCGTCATTCGGTTTGAACACTGAAACATTTTCCATCATTTAATGTCATCAATCTCTTGATTCTGGAAAATATGGGTGGTTTGGGTTTTTTGTTTTTGTTTTGTTTTTTTAATCCTTTGCTGTGCAGTAGTTGCTGAAGCTGTGCCTGCCTCCCTAATCCTGTGTGAGCTGGATTCAATTTAATAGCTGGATGTGGTGGACTTGAACTTGGGGAAACGAATATTTTTTGAGAAAGACTATCTTCAAGAATGTATTTAATTAGCCTAGACCCTCCACAAGGACAGGGGACTACGTTGGTTCTCTACAGAGCCTAACCCTGGTTAATACTTAAGTGTCAAGTGTCAGTATTCTAGGCAAGTCCAAGGTGCCAGAGCCACCTCTCTTCGAGTCAGTATTCTAGGCAGAGTCCAAAGTACCAGAGCCACCTCTCTTCGAGTCACTTGGCATTCTCACTGCATGTAGGTGACCTCCTGGTGCTTTGGAAATTGATAGATGTGGTTGTATAGGTGAGAAGTCACAGGGACACTGTCTGTGTGGCTTGCTGCCATCTTTGGGGACACTCTGAAGTATGAAGTTTTCTGTTCTGCACGGTATATTTGCAAATTCACTCTACTTAAGCTTCAGAGTCTTGTCCCAGTGGGATTCCACCTTAAACAGCATCTCTGTTTGTCTCTGGAGTGTGTTGCTTAGGGCCTGTGGGGAGTGACACAGCTGTGCTCGAGGTGTGTCCTCAAGGTCCCATCTCCTCTTCCACACTTCAGCTGATAAAGCCTGGACTCTAGATTTGGTTGAATTCACATATTCTGGAGGAGAAGAAGTTATATTTTTTTCCCTCATGATTGTGGCCCTCTCTTATGATAAATATCCAGGGAACCTTGGTGGATTCCATTGCAGGTGAGATTGACCAAGGAGGAGGGACAAACATGCCAGGCAGACAGAACTTAATGAGATGTTTTATTAGAAAGGGGAGGAGGGGGAGGAAAGAGGAAAGAGGTAAAGAGACACACAGAGAGGACAGAAGAGAAGAGGGAGACAGGAAAAGTCCTGCCTGCCCCAGGGGAACAGTGGGAAAGAGAGTGGGAGAGAGAAGAGAGGAAGAAGAAAGAGAAAGTATGGCAGAGGTCTTTCTTTTAAAGGAGTCCTTTTGACCAGGGTACTGCCTGAGTGCATTCTGCCAGGTAAGGATTCTGCATAATGAATCCTTACACCCCCTATTTAGAATTTTTTAGAATGCATTCATTCACCTATGTGTCCATTCAACAAAGGATAGTGAAGCCCTGTGGCGTAGCACAGAGGAGAAAAGCAGAGCCCTGGGTTCTGTCTTGAGCAATCAGTTGAGCAGAAAAAGTAAACACTATGCAGTGTGTTGAATGATTGGCTGCGGTGGAATGGTACTACCAAAAAAAATGTAAACTGACAATTCCAGATGAAGTAGCATCCCCCACAAAAAAGGAAAGAGTGGATAGCGTGAGAGGGTATGTTGTCAACTTGTCCTCTAGAATCGCCTGGGGGCTGGGTCTCTGTGCATTCTTGTGATGGGTTATCTTAATTACATGAATTGGTGTGAGAAGACCCATCTTAATTGTAGACAAAACCATTTCCTGGGTTGAGTGCTGGAGTAAATGAAAGAGAGTTGCGTGCGTGCGTGCGTGCGTGCGTGCGTGCGTGCGTGCGTGCGTGCATGCGTGCGTGCATCCATTGTTCTCTTCTGCCTGTGAAGAAGTACGACTAGCTACTCCATGCTTTCTGCCTGGACTTGCTGCCATGATAGACTGTATCCTGAACAATAAGCTAAAACAAACCCTTCCCCTTTGGGTTGTTCTTGTCAGAGTTTATTATCACAGCAGCAGTGAAGAAACCAAGACAAATAGGAAGGACCTGGATGGAGGGAGTAGGAAACAATAGAACAGAGTTTCTAGCTGAGGAGTCGACTTGGACAAAGGCTCAAGGTGGAAGCATCGTAGCATCTAGAACTAGGGCCCAAGTGAGTTGAGTGTAGAAACAGAGGAGCCTAAGCGATAGGAGAGGAGAGGGAAGCAGGACTGGAGAAGAAGGGGCATGGGTAAGGAGGGAATGGAAGACTGTTGAAGGGGATAAGTATAGCAAAATTTGTATTCCCAGCAGCTCAGTCACATTTCATGATAGAACAGAGGGTCCAAAAGTACAAACCAGATGAAACATGGCATGACTGGGTCACGGAGGGATGCAGACCAGAGAGAAACATACTGTTCTGTCCTCTGGCAGACTCAGTGGAGCGTCACTTTAATTACAAGGCTGTTTATTATTTTTAGAAATAAGCAGAATAAACAAATAAATGTCAAATTGGAAGTGAATTTTCACCTCCATCCAAGACTGTTTTTTTCTTCCCCCAGCATTTCCCAAATGTCAGGAAACTTTTCAAGCAGCGTAGCCATAGTGAACAAGACAGACACACATGATGAATGAAAATTTAAAAGTAAACAAAGCAAATGATCTGGCACCCTTTGAAGCCCAGAGGCTGTGGACAGCTCTGTGCATCAACATTCGGCGTCTTTAGTGAGTGTTTGTGTGGGGAGCTAAAGAGGAAATCTTGATCCTAGCCTTCTGGAAGAACCCTGCTCGTCATCTGCTCCTTGTCAAAATGATTGGGAGGAGGGAGATACCTGGAGAGTGAAGCCCCAATGGAGCGTCTCTCCAGGCTGAAGTGTAGGAACTGATGGGTCGCATGGGTGGGGCTGGTTGTCTGTGTGCAGTTGGAGGCTCCTCCCGAATGCATGATTCACCCTGGTACCACGAGGGTATTTTATGAGCAGAGTGTGATATATGTGCCCTTTGAAGGCAGAATAAAAGGGTATAATTTAAAAATAGAAGTCAGCTTCTCGTAGCTGATTACATCAGCTGAAGTTGTGAGCCCCAGCAGAGCCTCTGAAGCCTGTGCCCTTGAGAGCTCCTGTGGTCAATTAAGTGTCTTGTTTTTCTTGAAAGGCAGAAATGGGATGGAGGGTAATTATTCTAAATGGAATAAAAGCTGTGTTGGGTGTAAGAAAATAGTTCTGAAGCCTCCGAGGAGATAGTATGGAAATGTATACATGGCATTTGTAGGACTCAGGCTTTATAGACAAGGGTATGGTAACCAGTGTTTTAACCAGAGCCATTTACTAAATCGTTTAATGAAATCCTGCAGCAGTTGTCTAGTGTTT